AAATCCTGGAGAATTTTAAATTTATTAATTTTAGAAGACTATTCTTTAAAAGACACAGCAATCATTTGTCTATTTGCTGTACTGTACCACTTGGAGTTGCTGTGATGCTGAACACTGTTCCATAGTTGTGTCAAATACCATAATGGTTACCCATTATGTACAGTGGTTGGACGAGCTTTCAGATTGATTCATGTTGGGAAGCAGGAGTGTCATCCACTTCCTAAATGAGATGCTTCTGGAAATGCTACAAACTCTCTTATAAATGTACAGAAATGATGTTAATTATAGAACAGAGTTCAGGTCTTTTGGGCAAAGCTTACTCTGAGTAGTATTCGACTCGACAACACTTAACCAGTGCTAAATGAGACAAGTGCTGTTATATCTGGAGGAACATTCTTCCACTTTGCACATCACTCATTGCCAATGTGCTGTATGAAGTAATCTGGGTTTGCAGTGATGCTGAATCTTGTGCCATGGGGATACCAAATACCAGAATGGTTTCCCATTGCGGACAGTGTTTGGTGGAGCTCCCAGTTGTAAAACAGGTTTGGAAGCAGTAGTGGCATCCACTTCCTAAACCACATACCTCTGGAAGCTCTATGATCTTGGAGAAACAATGATAGCTATGAAAAGGCGTTAGATCTTTTGTTCATAGAGTCCCTGTGAGTCGACCTCGACTTGATGGCAATCAACAACAACAATAACAACATTGAAATACCACTTTTGAGGCCAGAGTGATTCATTATGGGTTCCTGAGAATGGCCAGGAACTTTTCTGTGTTCTGAGCCCCTTGCCAGTAGCAGCCTAATGAGCTAAGGCATGGGATTAGGACACTGCTTTCGGAAGGATGCAGATACGGCCCAGACTTGTGTCTCACAGTAATTTGTGCTCTAAGTATCAACAGAACGCGAGCCAGGTTAGACAACACAGTGCCAGGGAAAGCTGTGTGAATGGAGTGATATTCCCTCGTGACAACCTGGAAGGTTGTCCTTTGAAAAATCCATCTTTTCTGAAGTATTCCTGCAAAGAATTCTTCACCTTCCTTCTTTATATCATGTCTAAACTATTCAAAATGCGTAAATCACCTTGGGCTACCTTTATTTCTTATTTTTACATCTCTGACACAAACGGAGAGTTCTCTGAGCAAAGGGCATGATTTTGCTTATTTTTGTGTTGTCTGCATAACACACAAAATAAGAGCACGTGTAATGTCTGTTGAATGAATAAATATTTATTATTTTAGGGACAAGGACACAAAATGATCTTTCTTTCTCTCTCTCTCATTGCCATCAAGCTAGAATTGACTCCTAGCTGGTCCTCCAGTGGGTTTTCAGAGGCTGTAAGTCATATGGGAGTAGAGACTGCCTATCCTTCGCCTGTGAAGCAGTTGGTAGATTCAAGTTGCCTCCTTTTGAGTTGACAGTGCACCTCCTTACCTGCAGGCCCCAGAGTTTCCTACTAAAAGACCAGCAGTATATATTTAGATTACACAAGTTGAGCTTACAAGAACTGAAAAGTTGCGCATAGAAACCCAGCTGTAATACAAATTGCAGATACTTAGCACCTTGTAGAAAACACAATCAGAGAATTTAATGATAGAGACATTTGTTCTTTAGCATCAAGAATCCAAATCCAAAGAAAGATTTGATTCAGGAGAGAAAGCAATTGTGTCCTAGAGGAAACCAAGGAGAGTTTGGGCAATATCCCAACCCTCAGTTCCTCATTGCACATGAGAGGACACATACTCAGAGTTCAGCCTTTTATGTCTCTTTTCTTATCCCTTAACCCCTTGGCAATCTCACCCAGTATTATGTCTAGATTAATTTATATACTTGTGACTTCAAAACCCAACCTAGACCTACAGGTTTTCATAGGCAATTTTATTCAAACTGACCAAATTTCACCAACAATTCTCCTCATCTCATAGTCCTCTTGCTGTTGTTATTGTGTTCTGTAGAGTCAGAACAGAGGCAGTTAGTCCCACAGGAGGAGGTTGTCCATCCTTCCACAGAGCAACTGGTGATATTGAACCACATGCCTTCAGGATTACAGTGCAAGCTTCTTACCACTAGGCCACCAGAGCTCTCTTTAGAAGATAGAAGTTCCATCCTACTGGTTGCTTAAATTGAAAACCTCAACTCCTCTCCTCTAGATAGAATTATCAACAAATTGTAATGCTATCTTCAAAATATATTGAGCTTCACACCACTTCCTACCATACCACCACCATCTGCCTACTGCAAGCACCCATCATCATTTTTCACTTGGGTTGCTATAATAGTACTTTCACTGGAATCCTATCCCCCCCGTATGCCCTTTTAATAATAGATATTATGGTGATTCTTTAAACACCAAAGCCAGCTCATGTTAGTCCTCTGTTCCAAACCCATGGCTGGCTTTCTGTTTCATTCAGCAGATACGCTAGATCCTTATTATGGAGTATAGAGTTTTGCATGGCCCGAGTCTTACACATTTTCCCACTTAGTCTATTCCAACTACCCTGGAGTTGTTATTATATGCTGTTGAGTCGCTTTTGCAACCCTATACAAAATAGTTCTGAACCCTGCTTTATCCTGAGCCAATCTCACGGTCTCTGACACACCAGAGTTTAAGATATTTACACCAGTATTTAAGATATACCAGTATATCTTCTCTAAGTCTTTTTTACTTCCAGTTCTCCCTGCTTGAAATGTTTTTTCCACCAGAGAGCCTCTTGGATATCTTTCATCTTTCAACTCTCTGTTCAGATGTCACCCTTTCATTGAGCTCTTCCTTGACTATTTTATATGGAAAAATAGCACCTACCATTGGACACTCCTCATTGTCTTTACTCTCTTTTTGTATTCCATAGTATGTATCCATATATGAAATTATATTTACTAATTTTTTTTCAAATTTACTTATTGATGTTATAGCTTTACCTACTTGATTTACGCTGTGTTCCCATTGTTTAAAATAGTACCTGGCACATTGTAGACCTGAAGCTAATGTTTGTGGAATGACTGAATATCTCACTCAAAGAGCTGTACAAAAGAGGACATTGACAGGGTCCAGCCCCATTATATCGAACAGTTCTGCCAAGAGAAGGGACAAGGATTAAAAGAAGACACAGAGTGGCTACTGCTGATGACAAATAGCAATTTTTATTTTTTAGAAAAAGCCTATATAGGTTTTTAGTAGCACATCTGCTGTAACAAACACATTATCTCTTTCTGTCCAAGATGTTGACTATCTGGTCAAACATTAACTCTCATAGACCTCAGCACAATACAAAGATGTTTTCCAGAATACCTTATTGTGTGCTCTAAGAAACAAAGAGTTTTGGTTGACTACATTCCCTAAGGTCTGAGACCTTTGGTCACTCTTATTCATTAACATCCTACTTCCTTGAGCTGTTTATTGCCAAGCAGATGTTCTAGCCAAGATGGAGTTAGTCTTGCTGGTTTTACAGTACAGGGCTAATCTTGCTTTAAAAGTTAGCTTGGCTCTGACAGGACATGATGGTGGATGGGGCCAGTCTGTATTACATGAGCCTCTGTGCATATGCTGGGTGTAACTTCAGGCCTTTCTGACTTGAATATATTCAACGAAAGCATATTGATATGAAGTCTTGCTTATCTGCTGATTCTAGGAGTGACAGTATTCCCTATTGGGATTGGGGATCGGTATGATATATCCCAGCTGCGGATCTTGGCTGGTCCAGATGCCAGCACCAATGTGGTGACGCTCCAGCGGATTGAAGACCTCACTACTATGATCACGTTGGATGGTTCCTTCCTCCACAAGCTGTGCTCTGGTGAGGCTTGTAAGACCATTATCTACCCCTCCCCCCCCCAAAAAAAAAAAGTCTGTTTAAGAGATGTAGGGTGCTCAGGTGCAAAGTTTGGCTTTGAAAGAAGATTTTAATATAAACAATACATTTGAAATTTCTGCTCGAGATAGGGTTTTACTCCAAAATTCCAAGGGGCCTCCAGAAAGTTCTCTGTGTATAGTTCTCCTTCCACCCAACTTTCCATCCAAGCTTTAAGAGAGAACGCGCATGCCTTCCTGTTTGTGTAGAGGAGCCTTAAGCAGAAGAAGTAGAGTGTTGACCGGGAACCACGACATCTTACAGGTCATGGTCTTCCCAGAGCTCTGCACTCTCCTTTCTGCACAGGTGTGAAGAACTTTAAAAAGGCAGTAACTTGGAGTCTCATATCAATATCCCATAGTTTGTGAGTTAAAGTTAGAAAGTCAGTGGGTTTTTTTTAAGCCATATTTGATTTTATATACGTCCTTAGTATAACTAGATGCCAATCTAAAGCAATTACAGGCTTACTGTCTTGTTACTGTCCTGTTAGTTAGTAGCTCTCCTATAAGAATCATAAGTAAATCTCATTCAGCTTTTCAGGATTTTGCTGCATGACTCTAGAGCACCAATCTATCTATGAAAAAGGAAAAAGAGATAAAGATGGTGAAAATTGTAAACTGTAGTTGCTGCCATATTATTAGCATATTACTGCTATAACTTTTGTTGGTAATAATAAAGAGAATTTAAATAGTTACAGGATGACCAGTTCTCAATATTCTGTGTCTTCACTGTTGAGCCCACTCAGGTTTTATTTTAATCCCAAATTGTTTTGACTTCCAGGACTAGGCTCGTTGTCCAAGTAGACATTTGAATGGTTTAGTATTTCTGGGTGGGGAGGAGCTGAGGACCTGTTTTTGTTTCTTTCAGGCTTTGTTAGGGTTTGCATGGATGAAGATGGGAATGAGAAGAAGGTAATTTTTTTTCTTTCTGTGGTTTCGGGGCAGGGGGAATCATAAAGGTATGTTAAGAGTCCTTGTTCTCGTTAACTAACTTTTCCTTAGTCCAATTCTTCCTTTTATCGTAAGTTTTACTCTTTTAAAAAAATACTATTTATTTAAAAAATAAACCAGTTTCTTTATTTTTTATCACAAAATTAAAATACATTGTTTTTGAGAACAGATTCTTCTAATCATAAATTTTAGTTTTGGAGACCACATGTACATATGTGTTCTGAATCTCATCTCAGGTCCAGCCATCTTGACCTTTAAACCTAAATCCAGATCCTAGTACTTTTATATTCTCATAACTGTTCATTGACCTGACAGATGGGTTTAGAATGAGAATTCCCTCAGCCTATTCTTTGCCTAAATCTGGTTCTTTCTTCTGAACAGCCTGGGGACATCTGGACCTTGCCAGATCAGTGCCACACAGTGACCTGCCTGCCAAGCGGCCAGACCTTGTTGCAGAATCACCGAGTCAACTGCGACCGGGGACCAAAGCCATCATGCCCTAACAGTCAGTCTCCCATTAGGGTAGAGGAGACCTGTGGTTGCCGCTGGACCTGCCCCTGTGAGTCCTTTGCTTCACCAGCGTAGACAGTATTGAACAGACATTGCCTTTAGGCTGGCTTTGCAGAAAGGGAGACCAGAAGCCTACCAGCCTGAAGTACCCTTTCACCTCCTCACCACATACACACAGTGCTACTTTCCATAGTTTTTCTTTCTCCCATGCTTCTTCGATGTGCCTTCATACTATCTCAGGGTTCATTCTTCTCTTCCTCTGCTTTTGGAAGGCAATTAGGGTTATGTATCGCTATGATTAAACATCACCAGAAGAAAGAATTGCCTTTCTGAAGTTAGTGCTCAGCTTGGTTGTTGTTAAGTTAATCTTAGTGCTTGGGGTATAACTGTGGAAATATAGCATCACTATAGACATCTCCAAAAACTCTCAATTAACACCCACAACTGTACTGGGGCTTGGCACAGCAGTAGGCATCAGAGTGGTCTGGTTTAAGAGGAGGCATGCAAGCCGAAGAGAGCATTTTTGCATGAGGACGGGTTGTCCTCTCTCATGTTGGGAGAAACTGATTTGGTCACTGTAGTCCCGACTCACGAATGGATAAATCGTAATCTTTACATGGAATAGGCCCAAAATGTATAATTGAAAGAGTATTTTTTTCTCTTTTCATTGTGATTTGAGGGAAAGTTTACAAAGAATATTGCTTCTTCATTCATTCATACACATTTTGTTTCATAATATTAATTATAAAACCCACATTGTCATTTTTTCCAGTTCCTCCCATTCTCATTTCCATTAATCCTCCTATCCTACCCTTTCCTGTCTTCTGGGCTTTATCCTTAGGAAAATTCTGCTCTTTTGATCGTAGATGTTGGGTTATTCTAAGCAGTGAGGACCTCCCTGGTGTTATTGGTTACCTCACCGGCCTGCCTGTTGTTTGACAGAAAGTTGAGCCATGGGTATGAGTTTTGTTCCAGGTAAAAAGAGTGAGTAAAGATCACAATATTGGGAGTTCCACCAGTCTCTGTAAGATTAGTAAGCTTGGCCTTTTGATGTAAAACTCTATCTCAAAAACAAACAAAAAACTGTATCTCACTCTTCCTTTGGAAAATATTTAATGGGACAAGTTTCTGGCCAAAGGAAAATTGGGAAATTTTAGCAGATCTTATGACATTTCTTCTGGTTTCATAATCAGTCCCATGGCCACTTTTAATCTTTCATATCGTTCAGTCACATTTCATTTTATAACATTAGTTAATAAATTTGGCACTTGGGAGCCCACTCCAATGCAATAATTAAAACTCTGCACTTGATTTAGCATTAAAACTTCTCACCCCAAGCTCATGCTGCAAGCCCTCTGAGAAAGGGACTGTATGGTCAGCTCCTCCCCTAGCCTGGAGCCCGGGAAGGATTTGGGAGGACATTTGGAAGGTTCTTGTGTGACTGGCCCTGCTTAGAGACGGCCCTGCACTATGGCCTAGAAGAAGTTTAGAACAGACTTTTTTGCTTGCTAACTTGCTTGAGAATGCCTCAGAGGCCTTTCCCTGTTATCCAGGCCTGGAGGGTGGGAAGTAGTTCATCTCCTCTCGCTGGCTGTTCCCTTTATTTAGAAATAACTACAGGCTGACAAAAAGGTACAACAATAGCACACAGAATTCCTGTGTATTCTTCACTCAGATTCTATGAGTGTGACATGTTAATTACAATGTTGTTGTTGTTAAGTGCTGTCGAATCGTAGGCGACTCATAATGACCCTATGAATGAAAGACCTGAACACTTGTATAAATTTCATCATTTCTCCAAGTTCTTAGAGTTTCCGGAGGCAAGTTATTTCGGAAGTGGATACCACTCCTGCTTCCAAATACAATATGAGGAATAAAATGGGGAAATTAATATTGCTACAGCACTCAAATTTTGCCAGTTATGTCACTAATTTCTCTTTACTGGTCTAGAAATCAACTTGGAAACACACTGTACCTGTAGTTGGCATGTCTGCTCAGGCTTTGTAAATCTGGAAAAGTTCCTTAGTCTTTCTTTGATTTTTATGACAGCAACACTTTTGAAGAAAACTTGCCACTGATTTAACAGTATGCCCCTTGATTTGAGTTAGATTCTGGCTGTGCACTTACCCCTCTGCTTCTTAGTTGATAATATCATAAGGCTCATGATGTCTATTTGTCCTGTTACTGGTGATACTAACTTGGATTGTTTGGTTAGGGTGGCGTCTGCCAGGTTTCTGACTGTAAAGTTATTCTTTTTCTCTCTGCACATAATAACTATCTTGGAAATACTTTAGAACTATGGAAATATTCTGGTTTTCATCATAGTTCTGCCTACTGGTTTTAGCATCCGTTGACTCTTGTCTGGAGCAATGTTTATGTAGTGTTTGCCAGGTGGTGACTTTGGAGTTCCATCATTCCCTCTACATTTATTAACTGGAACTCTACCCAAAGAGATTTCCCATATCCTCCTGTTTGTTTATTAACTCAATATGGATTCATGGATTTTTGTTTTAATCTGTGAGGCATAATCAATGACTAGCATTACTTATTTTGTTGCTCAAATCATACCATAATTTGGCCACTGAGAGTTCTTCCAGTTTTGCTTCTGTGTCTTCTCCCCCCCCTTGATTTTAAGAACATATTTTTTCTCTTTTTAAGTTTGTCATTACTTTCTAGCACCAAACTGTATCTGTAGGCTCATTTTGTCCTTTTCTTGCATCTTTCCTGGAGTCATCCATTTCTTGAAGCAATGCTGTTGTTGAGTACCATCCAGTCAGAACTAACCCATAGCTGACCCTCCAGTGGGTTTTCAGAGGGAGTAAATTATTTGGGAGGAGTTTACCCTCTTTCTCCCACAGAACAGCTGGTGGACTCAGGTTGCCTGCCTTTGGGATTGTATTGCTGGAGAATGATGTTTGGAAAGAAATTAATACCTGAGTGTCAGTTGTGCATGTTTTTAGGAGAAGCCAGTCCCTTGGAATAGAGCATCATGCTTGGAAAGGTGGAGGGTCAGCAAAAGAGAGGAAGACCTCAACAAGATAGATTGACAGAGTGGCTGGAGCAATGGGCTTGACTATACCAGGGATGGCATGGGTGCCACAGGATAAGACAGGATCCGGTTCTGCTTTTAATAGGGTAACTATTGGTTGTGGTTGACTTGATTGCACCTAACAACAGTTGTTCAGAGTGATACTGTAATGCCATTGCTCTCTCAGCAGACAGAGCTAGGCATCATATGCATGAGTGTTTATATCATATATCATATTATATATTCTATCTATCTATCTATCTATCTATCTATCTATCTATCTATCTACCTATCATCTATCTATTCTCTCTTCTCTCTTCTTTCTTCTCTCTCTCTCCTACCTATTCTGTCTATCTTATAAATATCTAACCTACCTATCTACCTACCTATCATCTATTATGTTCTATCATCCTTCATTTATCTGCTGGCACCTATAGTTCTAATCTAATACCACAAAGTTCATCCTCACTTTGTTTTACTTTTTCAGATATTGAAAACATGTCTCTAATTTGCACAATATATTTCTATGTGTGCTTAATTTCAGAATACAAAAAGCAGTTTCGTACTTGTGTGGAAAATAGTTTTTTATGTCGATGTATAATTTTAGTAGTGTGCTGTGTTGTGTACTGTTGAGTTGGCACTGACCTTTAGCTGACCCTCCGGTAGGTTTTCAGAGTCAGTTCATTACATGGCAAGAGATTGCCCATCCTTCCCCCCTGGAGCAGCTGGTGGCTTCGAACCATGTGCATTCTGATTGCAGCGCAGGTTCTTACCACGAGGCCGCCAGAGCTCCCTAATTGTTAGTAGTACATGTGTAATTTTATTTTTTACATTTAAATACCTGATTTGCTTGGAGTTTATTCTAATAACATATTATAGAGCTCAAATGCTATTGTTTACAAATAGCTACCCAGTCATCCTTCTATCATGTGTTGAAATGTCCATGTTTACCATAGAGATTTGAGATTATATCTTTATCATACACTAAATTTACATACTTGCTTGGATTTATTTCTTGGGTTTTCTACTATATTCTACTAGTCTGTCATATTCTGTCATATTCTACTAGTCTGTTAGCCTATGCATCTAGCAGTAACACACTATCTTGGTTACTGAGGATTTACGTTTTGATATCTGGTAAGACTATAACTTTGGCATAATTTTTCATTTCCATCATTTTCCTGGCTATTCTTTATGGGTTTTTTGCCCATCCCCTTAAGCCTGTCTTAATTTTAGAAAATGGCTCTTGAAGATAGCTTGTTGTTGGATATTTCTTTTGAGCCAAAATTGGGAAAAATGCATATTTAATAGTAAAGTTAGGTACATTCACAATTCTTGCCATTATTGTTTGGTTTCATGACTCTATTTTGTCATAATATTTTGTAATGCTGTGTGCTATACAATGGTTTGCTATATGACTTTCATTGTGGTTTTATTTTAAATTTACTTTAAATTAGTAATTTTTTTTTCAAATTCTTTTAAATTGGGAAGGTTTGTACTATTGCTCTGCACACTATCTTCTTACAAATATCCTTTTTTTTTTTTACCTAGGTCCCTTCCCTTGATTTCTTATTATTTTTCAATACTTGTTTTTTTCTAAAGTGGTAATTTACATAGTGGATTTGTTGATAGGTGCCTTCAAGTTGACTATGACTCATAGTGACCCTGTTGTGAACAACAGATCTGAACCTTACCCTCTCAGGCTTCATCCTCATATGCTTGGGTCCACTCTTACAGTCACTGTGTCAGTTTATCTTGTTGGAGGTCTTCCTCTTTTTATATGATCCTCCACCTTTGCCAGCATGATATTTTTCCCCCTTCCCAACAAAATGCCTAAAGTATGTGTGACAAAAATTCACCATCCTTGACTCTAAGGAGCACTCTGGCTGCACTTCTTCTAAGAGAAATTTGTTCTTTGGTCTTCTGTGGACTGTTGAGTACTTTTCTCCAACACTACAATTCAGATGCATCTATTTGTCTTTCATCATGCTTGTTCAGTGTCCAGCTTTTAGATGCATTGGAAACAACTGGAAATAGCATGCTTGGATCAGGTACATCTTCATCTTTAAACTGACATTGTTGCTCTTCAGCACTTTGGAGAGATCTTTGGCAGATTCTCCCAAAGCAACACATTTTTTGATTTCTTGACTGCTACTACCATGGGTGTTGATTGTGGATCCAAGTAAAATGGAATTGTTGACA